ATACTTTTGATCTGAAATGTTGTCTATAGATAAATCTAATAGTCATTGTAATTCTTTGAAAATTTCAACGAAAATGAACATGTCTTTCTATATCTCACAGCTGTTTTTTTTTAAATTAAATATCTTGAGAAAGACATTCCTTTTCGTTGAAACTTTCAAGACATTTTAATAACTATTAGACCTATCTATAGGAAAGAATTTATATTAAAAATATTTGTTTCATTCTCTCAGAAATATCTTGCACAACGTGAAAACTTCTTCATTGTGATAATATGAAGTCACACTACCTAAAACTGCTAACTATATTAGTCTATTGCATTTCACTATATTTAAACCATCAAATCGATCCTTTTCAAAACTTATAAATAGTAGCATGACTTGATTTACATTCAATTCTAACGCATATTTCTTTATTTTTTATTTTTTGTTAAGGAGTTTAGCTGATCATGATAAAAATGATCGTTTAACTCCGAATGAATTTGTTGTTACAATGCATTATTGTGATATTGTTGGTGCTGGTTAAACATTACCATATCGTTTACCAGAAGAATGGCCACATGCAACTATAATGCAACATGAATGTACAGGTTCATTATCAAAATCAAATATGAATCAAGCATTTGCTCATATTAATCAAGAACTTAAAGATACATTTGCATTATAAAATACAACAGACAATCATTCTGATGAAACAACAGAGCTTGAACGAAAAAAATAGTTTAGTAGTAACTTATGAAGAAAAACGTCAGAAAAATTATGAAGTTTGTATCTCAACAAATAATTTTCTAAACTTTTTTTTTGAATTTATTTTTTTTATAGAATGGATATAAAGAATTACAACAACATCAACAATTATTATGTGAACAAGAAAAACGTGTACAAAGAGAACGTGAAGAACGAGGTAATTAATAGAATTAAATAATTGAAGAAAATTTCGAATTTTTCTTTTATAGAATATAAACGTGAATTAGAATTACAAAAACAAAAAATAATCAAAAACGTGAAAAACAAATGAAATTTGAAAGACAATTAAAAAGAAAACGACAAATGGAACAACATAAAGAAGAAGAACGAAGAAAATTATTTGAACAACGAAAAGTAAATTTAAAAGAATCATTATTTATATCTATCTATTCTTTTCTTTTTAGACAACAAGAAAAGAAATGGAAAATAAAAGGCGTCTTGAATGGGAACAACAACATATGCAAGAATTAACAACACAAAAATCTCGTTTACTTGAACAAATAAATGATTTAAAATCTCGTGAAAAAGCTCTTGAGCTTGAATTACAAAATATGGATGATACTATTCAAATAAATATAAATATTCAAATAATTGATCAAACAATAATTGATATACAAAAACGTACAACTTAATGAAAAAAATCTTTTTGAAAACATTGAACAACAACGTAAAGATTTAATGATGAAATTACATAATATAAAAATCGGAAAAAAATCATTGAATTCATCATTAAAACATCTTAATCAAATGGAAAGAATTTAATAAGAATTGTATTAAATTAAAATCTTTTGAACCTTTAAGATAGTTGTGCAATAATTTGATTGAGAAGAGCAAGACTCAACCCACTCGCTTCCAATACTGAATCAGCAAAAAAATGAATATTTAAATTTAACAGTAAAGTCAAGTAGAAAATATCGACTAACGATCATATGAGTTTAAATTCTCAAACAATTCGATCATCTCTTTCTATAAACAACAGATATGTGTAATAGACAAACCAGATATGAAATCAATACCGATATAGATTTTAGACGGATCGGTTTGATCTATGAGACTAACTCTCATGTTAAACAAAATATTGATTAGTTAAAACCAAAGAGTAAATATTCTAGAAAAAGAATGTTGAGTTTTATACGAATCACAGTTTAGTAGCAGCTCGTTTCAAACTTATCGATATTTGTAGAAGATTATTTCAAGTGTTTTGCTAGATAGATTTTTACTAAAATCAAAATTCAGATCTCCTGGTTTTGCTCATATCTACTAACTTATCCTAGATATGATTCATACGGCTTAGATGATAAAGTTCGTTGAATCAGGATCTACATTCGATGAACAGATCAGAGTTACCAATGAGGCGGAGGGGGAGGAGTAATGACAAGGACTTCCCCTCCCAAAAATCTCGGACTTTCTGCCAAAATTTCAACATTTTCTGCAGAAATTTTTAAAGTCGCGTAGGAAATCCTGACAGAAAGCGAGTTTTAATAATCTTAGCTCAGTCTTCGGCACAAAGTCATATAAAGATACTTTGTGCCATAAAGTGCTCGCAGAAAGTCGAATAAAGGAACTTTCTGCAAAAATGTCTGGATTCTCTGTAGAATTTATAGCCCCTTTCACTTCTAAAAACAATCGGGAACCCTGGAACAGATCATAAAAAATCGTCAGATTTCGAGATATGATGCTGTTAAATTTAGCTGAATAAGAAATTTGTTTTGCTATGAGATAGTCAAATAATAAGATGTGTTTAATTCACTGAGCTGAAGCTGATCAAGCAACTTTTCATCGTTTGAGTCAGGATTGATGACTCAGCTTTTTTCATGTGAGTTGAAGTTACTGTACACTTCATTTTAATCTGCTCAGGGGAATAGCGTGCAGCCAATTCCATCAAGAACACTCCGAAGATAGTTGGATCTTGGAATCAAGAGTATGGTGATTGGCTTTCAAGATCCGATTCGAAAGTCAGTGAAACCTAGCATCGAAATCATCGTTAATACTTTCTATCGATCAAAGAAAACTTCTGAAATGCATTTTTAACTTTTTTTTCTATATAAAGGTATGGGTAGTCGAAAATCTGAGCAAATGAAATTCTTCCAATTCCAAACAGCAATAGAAACTATGAAACAAGAAAATAGATGTATTGATGAACAAATTCTTACATTTACTAATCAATGTAAACAATATTAAAATCAAATGGAACAACTTTGTCTTCAACTCAATCAACTTGAACAAGATGCTAAAAATAAAAAACCATCAAAGCAAATTAAAAAAAAATCTATTAATTTTCCAAATCTAAAATTTATTATTATTCATTTTTTAAGCAAAATTACTACTCCTTCAGCATTTGGTCACTATTTCTTTTGTGTCTAGTCTATGCTCTTATCGGTTTTTTTTCTTGCTTCATTATATTTATTTCTCAGCTAATTATGATCAATTTCATGCTAATATTTCTTCTAATATTGATGTTGATCCATTTCAAACAGTCGATCCATTTGCTTCTCAATCTGATATAGGTTCATCAACAGCACCAAATGTTTGGTTTCAATCATCGAACAATGTTCCTACAACAAATTATCCATTTGGTCCAAAAATTGAATCTCCAAACACAAAAAATACAGCATCAAAAGCGAAATCATCATCAGTTGATCCATGGAGTGGAACAACAACAACAATAACTAATAAAAATGGAAATATTTGGACACCATTTAATACAACAGATGATGAATCACAAAATGTTTATAATGAAAATTCTTCTTCTGGTTAGTAGATCTGAAAACAAAAATCAATTTCTAGACTCTTTTAATCTAGGTACAATTCGATATCAAGCATTAGATGATTATAAATCAGAACGTTCTGATGATATGTCAATGTCAACTGGTGATATAATGACTGTAAGTTAATTTGATTTATTCTTTTTTTTTGTAATACGAAAAAAAAAAATCAAGAAAATAAATTTTTGAAGAAATCAATTGAGGCAAGTTTTTTTCTTTTCTTTTTTCAGAAATTTTTTTAGCATATGCTGAACGTATTATGTAAGTTGAAGAAATTAAAAAGAAAACTTAAGTTTTTGTTTGATATATAGCTTAACACCATCATCTACTAATGAAAATGTTAATGATACAACATTACAATTAGCAGTAAGATGAAATGACTCATTTTTATATTGAATTAATCATTTTATTTTTAGTCTGGATGATAGGTAATGACATTAGCTGATCATCAAGGAAAACAGTTGATAAACATTTATCGTTTCAAAAAGGTGAACTTATTCTTGTACGAGAACAAAAAGATACAACATAGTATAGTGGTCAACTTCGTGGAAAAGTATAGATGTTTAAATCATATTTAAATTTTATTAAGAAAATTCTTATTTAGATTGGTTGGTTTCCAAGAAATTATATTCGACCAGCTATTGAAATTGAAATACAAAATAATAAAAATTCGACAAAGTAAAGAAGAATTTATCTGCATGTGCCAATATGCGTTGAGAGAAATTTTGGAAACATTTTTTCTTGTAGAAATAAGACTGCAAATTCAGTTTCTCTGATTTATTTGTTAATAAAAAGAAATAAAACAGTTTCTTCTTTTCTTTTATCATTCAGTATATCACTCTTTAAAATCTAATCGAGTTCAATTAATAAAAATTAGATTTTTTCATATAATATTTGTATGTAAAAGTAAATCTGTTTCTCTTTCGTTGGCTGCGAATGTACATTTATTTGCGAATTATTCTTTTGGACTTCGGAAGAAAAAGTCGACTGGTTTTATTTTGAAAGTGGAGGAATTTTTTTTTATTTTAGCGGCGGATTCTACATCTTTGAGTAGGAATATTAGTTTCGGGTTCCATTCCTAGGAATTCGACTAATGAGAGGATATCGTACAATGAATACTGTTTCTTTCGATCTAATAATATTTTTTCCTAGAAATATTTCTTTCTAAAAATTAAATTATTATTTTGAATAAATGATTAATTATTTCTTAGAAATACACCGACCAGTGAAAAACCATTGAATTTCCCAATATATGCTAATGATGTATCATCAAATGATGGTGACGTTGGTAATATTTGTTTCCTTTCTTTTTTCCTTCTATTTCTTACATCACTATTAGATTAGATAAGTTATTTTATAATGAGTATTTAAAAAAAAAAAATTTAGATAGACAGGGATAGTCAAATTCTAATTACTATTTAGTTTGGCGTCAGGCACCCACTATACCAACAATACGTAATTGCCAGACAATTCATCAAACATAATAATTCAATTCAATAAAATCTCTCTTGCCTCCTTTTCTTTATTATTGGTTACGGGAAAAAAAAATTTAATTTTTGTTGTTTTTTTTTGCTCCTTTTTGTCTGCTATTTGTTCTGAATACAAATAGAAGTTTCTAGTCAATGAATGATTTTTAATAATAACAGCTCATTTTAGTTGAATTTTGTCTTTGTCTTATCAAAAGCCGAGCGTCTTATAGAAATAATTTGCATGTATTCTTTTGTCTTCTATTATCTTTTGTTTTATTATTTCCAAAAAAGAAAAATTATAAGATTTATTTTGCTAATATTTATGAAGCTATTTATCCATTTGAAGCAACAGAATCAACTGATTTATCATTTAATATTGATGGACAGGAAAAATCGGTGATCGTTCAGGAACATATTCGAATAATTATGTTCAAAAAGTTGATCATGTAAATATTGAAATAAAAACAAAAATAAAAATTTTATTCTTTCTTTTTTAAAGCCATTTCAAGAAACAGCTATTGCAATAACATCATTTCATACAAATGCAGAAGATCGTTTATCATTTGATCAAGGATAAAAGAATTATATAAGCAAAAAAGATGATAAAGTATAGTATCAAGGAGAAATTCGAATATGTTAAATTCCAGATTTTTTTTTCTCTATGTAAATATGTTCTTTAACAAAGTACCAATAGATACTTTGTCAATGAAAAGACAGTACCTACATGCATTCTGTTTCAGATTTCTATTAAAAACTCTGAGAAGTCATTTTCTAAACGCTTAATCTTATATTACAATAAAACTTTACAAAAATGTCTGTTGCAACAATAGCATATATTGAATCTTTATTTAAAAAAAATGTTATCTGATGATAAAGATTTTCGTTTAATGGCAACATTAGATTTAATATATGATTTACAAAATGAACCAATTAAATTAGATGATGATAGTGAATATTAAATTGTAAAAAGCGTTTTAAAATTATTAGAAGATACAAATGATGAAGTACAAAATCAAGCTGTTAAATGTCTTAGACCATTAGTATGTAAAATAAAAGAAGAACAAATTGAAATTATATGTGATACATTATGTTCATATTGTACAAATATGTCTCAAGATGCTGAAAAATTCCGTAATATACCAAATACTGGTTTAAAAACCATTATCGCATCATTAGCATCAACAAATTCAGAAGCAACAAATGATATATCAAAAAAACTTATGCAACGTTTATTAACAGCTATTCAACAAGGTATAACAATAATACCAACAAATAATAATAACCGATGAATCATTAATAATTGTCTTCTTAGTATTATTGAAATATCTTCTCTATTCTCTTCTTGATTGAAACATTTTGTTTGTTTTACAAAATAATTGTTCACTTTGAAATCTCTTTTGATTACAAAAAAAAAATGTTTCAATCAAGAAGAGAATAGACGAGAAATTTCATAAATACTAACAGGACAATTCTTGATGACCCATTCATTGATATTGATACGAATAAAACTAATAATATATTAAATTTAGCATTTGGTGAATACAGTCAAGTAAAAATTATGGATATTATGATTGATATGCTTTCAAGATTTGGTACAAATTTATTAACATCTCATTCACAATTAAAACAAATTTTATGAAAAATGTCAAATTCAAATAGATCAGCTGTTCAAGAATGTGTTAAAACATTATATGAGTATTTATTTATATATAGTTTTGTTATTTGAAAGTAATGATCTAATGGCAAACTATCTTTTTTTTATTATAGTTTTTTACCCTGTGAATCGCAAGCGCTTTGTACTTGCAACATGAATCATGAACAAGTCAAAATACTTTTAGAAGAAAAAAAAACAAGAAGTTAATTAATATTATTATCCCAAAGTATGTTTGTCATAAAGTTAAATTTGATATTTATAATTATTATTTCAGATAAATAAATAAAAAACAGACGATAACTCCGTCAATCAAGACCTATAAATCTGTCAAACACCGAGCTCTACACAATGTGAACATTTAACAAACAAAGGCAACACTCGAGAGATTTTTTAAAAACTTTGTTTTTTAGAAACAATTAATCTTCTTTATTCAGATGAAGAACAAAATTAAAATAATTCAAACAAAAAAAGTAATATATACAAAAAAAATTTACATAATCAAGCAAAAATAGCAGATTGATTGAGTATATTACGATCCTGGGCTCGAGTCTAAAGGTAGGCTCTAATCTCAGTCTATCCTATATATAAGCTATTAAACTCTTTACATTAATTGAAATTTCTAATTTTGACTTTTCATTTTTCTATAAAAAAAGAAAATCTGTGAATTTGATCAATTTCTTATCTTTTTAGTCAATCATCTGATCGTCTTATTCGTAATTCTATAAGTAATTGCCAACAAATTACAGCGCATCTTCAACAATCAACCAACAAATCTATATAATAATACATCTCCAAATCGTATGCGTGATCATAAACATTAATCAAGTTTAACGTTGTTGTAAAAACATCTACATCAACAAATGATACAATACTTGATCAACAATCTCAACAAGTTCAACAACAATGATTATCAACAAATATACGTAGTCTTGCTAAATGACATGTACATCCTATTTCACATAATTAATCAATTTATTCAATAATATCAAAAACTCATATGAAATCAAGTCATACAGATATATATGATAGTCTTAAACGTAATAAACATAGTAAATTATCACAATCAATATTACATGATAAAATAATGAATGATAAAAATGATTGTATAAATAAAACTGATCATCAAGCACATGATTTTTATCAATTAAAATCAACATTATCAACACAATTAAATACAACATCAACAATTGTTAATGTTGATAATGCATAACAAACATCATTTGATTGAATTGATTCAATACATTCATCTATTTTAGCATCACCATTAAATCGATCATCTGTCTTTTACCTACATTTTGATTCATTAACAACAACAACACTAAAAGATATTTATTATACAATATCAAGTTCTAAAGATGTATCTACACATCCATATAATTTATATTCATGGTCTCATTGCTGATAATTTCTATAGTGGACCATATACAAATAAACCATCATCTAAATAGCAACAACAATCAATACAAAGATATGATACATCATCATTACTTGTTCATCGTTTAGAACATATATTGATTCATCACAATCACAACAATATTTACCAAGATATCAATCTCAATCATATAATCGAACACAATTAAAGTCAATGATGACAACAGCACAACAACCGTACCACCACCAATAGAACATTTTAATAATAATAATAATTAACTATCAACATGACTTTTTCATCCACATAGTTCACAATTATCAGGGTAAAAATCTTCTTATTCTTATTATCAATTATATATATATATATTGTTTTTAGATTTAATTTTGGAAGTTTACATGTTGCCGAAGAATGTTCTAATGATGTACTTGGTTGAGTTAAGAATCATCATGGTATTTCTATAACTCTTCTCTGATGTTTTTTTATTACTCCGTTATCTATTCATGTGTCATTTAGAGTTTTGTTTATATATAGATTGATGAAACTAATAAAAAAAAAAAAAAAAAATATATATATATATACTTGGTCAGAGACAAACATAAACTCTGAATTTTAAAAAAAAGTTGGATTTAAAATTAATCATCACATACCAATATCAATTTTCTCATAAAGGATAGAAATAAATAAATAAAAAGGATATTGATACAGCAACAATATTGTTGTATCATCATGAAATCAAGTATTGGAATATTGATTGTATGCATTAGTGCATGTAAGAAATTTTTTTTGTAATTATTATAACTTCTGCTTTTATCCAATTGTGATAAGAAACGATTTGAAATATTTATTTTATTTGTTTCAAAATTTATAATTTAAACTTTTTAATGGTCGTAAACATCTTGAAAAAGAAAACTTAAAAAAATACAAATACATTTTTTTTCTAATCACCTATATTTTTTTAATATAAAGAACATAAAGTAATAAAAAAATGTCAATTAAATGGTGAATCTATTGAAGATGATGATGATGATTTTTTTTAATAATATAGAAAGTACAAGTAAAGCAGAAAATGATCAATCTAAAATTCGTTGAATGAACGTTTCATTTTTTGTCTTTTTGTTTAAATATATTTTAAATTAATTTAGCTTGATATTGAAAAAAAATCTGAAAAATAACGTCAAACAAATGAAGGTTCAGAATAAGAATTATTAACTAATATTCAGCAACAAAAAAAAGTTCAATTTACCAGTAGTTATGAAATAATAAAAGAAAATGAATGAAAAAAAAACAAGAATTTCATTAAAAAAAATTCTTTTTTTAAGCTTCACAAGCTGATTTACAATTATTAATGCATCGTATTCGTAAAATAATTAATATTTTAAATGATTTTAAAAATAAACAAGAATTAAATTGATAAATAAATAAAATTATTAATTAAAAATTTGTTTTTTTTTGAGATCAAGAAAAGAATATCTTGATTTACTTCAATAAGATTTGATATAATTATTATTCATAGAATGATTGTTCTAATTAAAAAAATTATTGATTTATTTTCACTTGCTGAAATTAAAAAAAAGATATTCTTTTTCCCAAATTCAATTTAATTTATAGATAATCGAGTTTTTCGAAGCTACTGGACAACTACATTAAAGTTGGTCTTATTATATATAATATAATAGTCAAGTATCTATTGGTGCAACACCTTAATATCTTATTGAACAATTATATGTTACAAGGTGTTTCAAGTTTTTTTTACCTCTTATGTTATTAACTCCTCAACCTAATGAAAAAATTTTAGATATGTATACAGCTCCTAGTGGAAAAGCAACGTATATTGGTAGAAAGAAAGTTTATATTAAAAAAAAATTTTGTTTGTAAAAGATTTAAAATTAGATGCATTAATGAGAAATAATGGTATATTAGTAGCAAATGATGCTAATAAAATCGTGTAAAAGAAATGATTGCTAATATACATCGATTATGTTTAACAAATACAACTGTAACAAATTTTGATGTCATTATTCAATTTTGTTTCTATTTGTTCTGTCTTTTTCTCTACAAAGATACGATGTATCTTTATAGATTCTGCATTACAATTATTACCAAGAATATATTTGCATTCAAATGGTATGATGGGAAAGTCAAATGAATGGAGTTTTTCTATATATGTATCTTTTGAAACTACAAATGGAGACTCAATTTCTATGTTTGTCGATGGTCGACGTAGGGTGTGGGTGTGGGTGTTGTTCTGTTCTTCAACAACACACCCATACCCACCCACACCCTCGAATCATTGCGCATCGATACGAGCACAGGGCAATGAACTCGCGTCATTTCAAGAACAAGCTCGTCTGGATCTAGCTCAATTTCTTGAACACCGTTCTTCTGAACTACACGTTGGCAGTGTTCTTATACTTGCCATCTGGTGTACTGACGGGAAAGGGTTGAGTGGGGGTGAACAAATACTTGATCGTCTCTATAAATGTGCACAAGATCTTTCATTACTGACTGATCAAGAAATATTGGATTACACGATTCCAATGTATATTCGTTCTCCTGCCGAATGTCTTGAGTTCGAACTCTTCGAGCGATATTCGCTTAAACTTATCAAATCGGCTTTGAAAAAATATTCAACACGGTTGTTCGATGAGTATCGTGATGGTCAAATGACACTCGATGAATGTGCAAAAGTTCACACTCAAACGACACGCCCTTGGACCAAATCAGGTCTTCGAAACGCTCTAGAGATGAATGGACGATCGATTGAAAACATTGAGACCATACTTAATCAATATTGGACTCTTTTTGAAAATGATATTAAAGACAAGTCGCATGATGATAATTTTTCTATGTACGATACTTATCTTGTTTTAAAGAAAATACCAATAGAAAACTGATGAAGCTATATGAAAAGTTTCGAGATTTGCAGATAAAAACTAATATAATAGAGTTAATGAAGTTTCATTCAAGCCAATATTTGAACTATTGTTGGACTTCTTTAAATGAAAACGTAGCGTCTTTTCCTTTCTGTCTGTGCCACTTTTACGTGCGCATGTTCTTTGAGTAACTTCTCGTTTACTATGTGCATCTATTTTTCTTCCACTTTCTCATTCGAAATTCCTGTCCACTAAACAGATAGAGTAGAGGAGCTCTCTAAAAACATAAGATGAAACCATATGGTGTCATGACTTGCTTTCATCGAACGAATTCTCATATAGGTTCAAACGCCGAGCTTGTTTTATTATCAATGTAACGAAAACCAAAACCAAACGAACTGTTATGATTGACTTCCATTAATGCTCCAAAAGTGATTTCAGTTTTCATATTCTCAAAATGATGTTATTTTGGAGCAATGAGGAACGGATGGTTTTCATCAAACGATATCGAAGAGTATTTCTAAGGAAACAAACATGCCATAGATTCGATGCAGATATTGAATTAACTTGTTGTTTCTCATTGATTTCCATCATATTAAAGTCGACGAAAATCATCCAGTTTTTTTTCTTCCCATAATGTGTCATTATTCTTCTGATCGTTCGTGAATAATATCGACTAATTTGACCAATTATCCATAAGTTGTTCATTCGGCATGAAATCAAACTCTGTCACAACATCTTAGTTTCTAGTCAATGAGATTCAAATCCATTTTGCTGAATTATGCATCATAAATCGGACTCTTAAAACATTTTTAAACTTGAAAAATCCAGTTTTTTTCATAATTAAATATCGAACAATTATCCAATGTAAAAAGAATATGGTTTCTCATTTTGTTCAATCCGTTCTCGAACAATATCCACCAATATCATTAGCAGTGTCGACTTAGCGTTAGTATTTAAAAAGTGCTAATACTTTCGCATTAGAGTTAAGAAACAATTTAATGCGTTTGTGTTAGTTTTAAAACAATAACGTAATACTTTGACATCAGTGTTAAATTAGTATTAGCAATATGCTAATACTTATGATGGTTATGTAAGTTTTCTATAGATCTATCAATTTAGTTTCACTATCACTCATGTAAAAATAAAAAGACATTTAACGAAAATGATTGTTTAAATTAACGCAAAACGTTACATTAAACTATAAATTAATGAAGTTTCACGAAGAAAATTTCATGAACTTTCGTTATACTTTGGAGTTTCGTAAAAACGCGTTAGAATATTCGGGCTTTTTCATGCGTGCCTTTCTTTTTAACAGTAACTAACGCATTGCATCTCATTAAATATTGCAGTTGTTTTCACGCGTTAAATGTATTAACACGTTTTCACGAAGTTTTCCATATTTCACGAAGGCTAACTGATTGATTCTCATTAAATCTAGTAACTGTTTTCACGAGTGAAATATTTTAACGAGTTTTAATGAATATTGTGATTCCTAACGAAAGTCATTTAATTATTCATCGTTAAATACTCTAATCGTTTTCACGCGTAAAAATGCTCTTGATTTTCATGTCCTGTATTTGGCTGTGGGTGTGGGGTGTGTGTGTGGATGTAGGTGTGGGTGTGGATATAGATGTGGGTGTCGGTGTGGGTATAAGCGTGGGATTGATGTGGGTGTAGCTGAAGAAAAGATCCACACCGGAACCCACACCCCACACATCTCACCCACACCTACAACCACATCCACACCCACACCCGCATCCACCGACACACATCGACACCCTGAACGACGCTCAATTTTTTGATTTTCTGTTAGTGTGTTGACAATGTTGTAAAATATATTTTTATTTTTGAGCTATTAGAACAAATCCAGAATGAAATACAATTCAAAAGCGAAATATCGGAGTTTGATTGGAAGAAACAGTTCTGGGCTGCGAGTGTTGGTTTATTTTTCAATATCGTAGAAATTTTTGTATTCGTTGATTATCCGTGTCCGCAACATACAAATTAAGCTGAGAGTCTAACACTATTTTCGAAGGATAAAATAGTCCAGTAGCATTTCTAGCAGGTGAACCTGTGTGTCCAGCAATTGTTGTTCCATTTGTTTCACCATTTAAGAAAAATTGAATGCGATGATTGACTGTATCGGCGACATACACATTGCCCATTGGATCGAGTGTTACAGTTCTAGGATATTGAAGTTCTCTGAACGTGTTTCCAGAGCTTCCATTAAGATTGCCAGCGACTAGTGTCCAACAACTGTCTCCCAACACCCAACGAACAATATTATGTGCATAAGTATTGGCAATAAGGAGACTGTTCGTGGGCGAATCGAAATAAACACTAGTAGGTTGCCACAACTGTGTATTACCTGTACCTGCTGAATTATTGCCAGCCACTAGCGTACCTGCGGAAGTACCAGATAAATAACGCATAACTCGATGATTAAAAGAGTCTGCTATGTAAAGTGTAGCAGTGTTTGAATCTAATGCGATATCAGTGGGAGTATTCAACTGATTGTTTGCATTTCCCGAAGAACCTACGAATATGTTTATAAGTCAGATAAAAATTTATTTATAATAAATGATATAAAATTCACAAGCACTATCCTTAATATAATTTCACAACAAATTAAATCTATATATTATGAGTAATACTAGCTGGACGCTCTGCAAAATGTAGGGTTACTTTCTAATACTATCTTTTGGCTGTCATGAACTTCGATATGCATTTTTTTCTTCTCGGTAACATATTACGGTCTCTTGTTACACGGATTCCGTGTGATAAATTGCGGCTTCTATATCTTGGTTCGATATGTTGTTCCTCGTAGCTTTCTACATATAGTACGCCCCTTTCTCTTTCGCGGTTAGAGACCGTAGGATTTGCAATTGAGAGAGAGAACTCGCATCGAAATCTCATTGGTTATTTTTTAGCCAATCAGACTTGAGGACAGGTTTCTTCTCGTTCTTCACACAGCTAGTAAGATATTCCTGGCCAGTCGTGATGTTTCCAATGATCTCTGTCATTCATCTCAAGCAGCTCTATGTTTTGGGGTACAAAATGAATGGAAAAACTCACCTTCAAATCTGATTGGTTCCTTGTATCAACCAATCAGATTTCAGGAGAGTTGTTTTCGCTTATTTCGGCCGTAGAAGGTGAGGTTGGCTTTGCTTAGCCGATCATGAGTTGTTAATGTAGTCGGGCAATCGCTTCAGACAATTCTATGTCCTGCATCGAAAATAAGCGAAAAACCTCATCTGAAAATTTGATTGGTCGCTTCTCTCAGCCAATCAAAGTTCAAGCGCTTGTTTCTGGTGAACAGTGATAGATAGAGTTGATGTTGCCAAAGAGAATCGGTAGCGTTTGTAATTCTCTGTTTTTGGATAACTCGCACCAGTAATTCAGGTGAAGAATACGTGAAAAAACGCACCTCGAAATCTGATTGGCTAACAGAATTGATCAATCAGAATTCAAGACCTTGTTTGTCGCCAACGGCGACAGATACAGTTGAGATTGCCATAGCAAATCAGTAGCGCGTGAAATTGTCTATCCGTTAGGATACCTCGCACCGATTACTTACGTGAAGAATAAGAAAAAAAACCGGTCTTGAAAACTGATTGATAGATTCGCTTAGCCAATCAGAATTCAACGTCCTTTTTCGTGAACGGTGCGAGGTAGGCTTAGGGTTACTGTAGCAGTTCGATAGCGCCTAAGACTCTCTGTCCGTTCAGATAACTCCCTCCGATGATTTACGTGAGCAATACGCGAAAAACCTGACCTCGAAATCTGATTGGCTGAGAGAATCGACCAATGGGGAAGGGATCAGACG